CGCCAACAAATAATCCGCATGCATTTTACAAAACACTGCCGCATTTTGCTCCTGGTTCCTGATGGCCCTTCTCTGAGTTGACCCGTTCTAAGTTGTGTTGATCTGGAAGGCCCCTGAAAAAAGTCATCTTACCAGATTTTACCTTCCTACACTACTCTGCGTAAGTAGAATGCTTTGTAGGACAATCGGCCTGTCCCTACTCACACATACGTTACCTCCATCCGAATTTTTCTTCCAGCAGTGAATTTGCAAAGTTCAACTTCCCAGTGGCTCTACGCGTCTGCACAGATTTATTCTAGCTGAGAAACATGCTTTCCGACGTTTTCGTGTTTTTCTAGACTTACTAGACGTTGGGCTGGTCTGAATTTTCCAAGCATATTCTATGCGTTCGATTAACATTTGTCCATTAGTGATGCCTGGATAAAATTCTAACATGGCGGATGATTCGCCAATTCTACCGGCTTCTGTCACTCATTATGCCTGAAAAGCTTAAAGTTTGCTGGTCCCGTTTTGCAGCATTTCTGAGGTCAATGAATAAATCTTACGCTCGCTAGAGCCCTCTGATAAAAATGTTGAGTAGGCACGTTTGACTCAAGTAAGAGCCCGTCTTCCCTTGGACACAATCATTTCGGAAACGCTCGTCTCTTTAGTCGGTGAGTTTTCCAAGCTTCTGGTTCCATTGAATTTCTCGTAGAATAGTGGATGCACGATAGGCTGAATTTGTGGATAAAATGAAAACCATCAATCGTTAGGTTCAAAACACGTTAAAATAATTTACCCACTTACAAGCATTAAATATTCACGTTGACTCATGGTTGTTTGAAATCCAGGAAAGCTTATTGACAGCGTTGGGAATCGTGGATCGTCCGCGCAGTCAAACCGACAGTCTTCGGTTTCATCTTCTGTGCATCCCAATATGGCATGCAAACGTTTGATTAGATCCACCGGGCCGCAGATGTATGGATTCGAAGAATCCAGTAAAACGGTATACCTCTCTCGGAAAATGTCCTGCTCTGCGAACCACATTCTGTCGAGGCGTAAACGCTGCAATTACTTTGGTTTATCAAACTTCGCTGTTGGCAAAGTGTCGTATAAAAAAGGGAATGGCGCGGATCATCCCACCAAAACGTCTGCTTAGGGGGGTGTTAA